ATGAGCCGCTCAGAAGCCAATGCGGTTAAGTCCATTTTTTGATATTTTCTGATTTTTGGAAATTTTGATGAAATAAATAATAATCTTCTTAGTTATTAAAGGATTTACTCGTTGGTTACTTTTTTCTAGGTTAGACAGCCCTTTTTTTAATAGCTTCTGAATATATTGTATAATAATTTCAGAAGCCATTGTGAATAAGTCCACCTTTTATCAATATTTTTTTACATAAACTTTGAAATAAAAATTAAATTCTTCTTCTTCTTTCGATATTTGTTGGTAACACTGAAAAACAAGAAATTCATAGTAACTGATACGGCAGAGAAATTTGGTAGGAAGGTAGTGTATACCCTCTGATTTGCATACTGAAACAGATTTTCGAAATTTTAATTAATTTTTTTATTATTCCATTCTTTGTGTGTTTTTCGAGGAATCGAAAAAAAAAAAATGAATCGGGGAATCGAAAATCATCAAGTTTGAAAGAATCGTCATAGAATTTTTATTTTTTTAATTTGATCATTCTGTCTCAATGTATCGAATTATTTGCTGCCGCTTTAAAACCAAAGTTTTTCATATTGAAAACTGAAAAAATCTTCACCCAACAGATGCAATCTGTATCAATAGTTATAGATTTTATTTGTTAACAGAAAAACTGTATCTTTTGACTTATTTTATCATTTTTCTAAAGTTAACAAGGAAATTCAGTTGCAAATCAAAGAAAAATAATTACTGTCTGTGTTGCTTGCTTCTGTAGATCAATTCAAAATGGTCCTATCAGCTCGTCAAATTTTAACTTTGTTAGCATTTGAAGAGCATTTCAGCAGGCGGTAAATCGACGTACATGTTTTTTTTTTTTAAAAAAAACTAAAAGTTTAACAGTTAATAGTTCTTGAACTAATATAATCGAAACGTAAATTTTTTTTTATTCCAGCGAAATCCTTGTACAGTTTTCTACACACCTTCGCAATTCACAAACTTTCAAGGTCTTGTAAATTTTTCGAGGCAAAATCGAATGTAACGGAAAGCAAAAATTGAGAAAATTTTTTTCGAAAAAAGCACTTAAAATTGCAAATTAGAATTTCGAAAAAAAAATAAATAAATCTGTGTTAAGTTGATAAGTAAATATGAAACTTTCAACATTTCAAATTTTAATTCTGTTTACATTTCTGCGATCCTTAGAGCGACCGGTATGATATTTTTTACTACAAGCTTAATAGTTAATAATTCTTGAACTAATTATTGAACGTTAAATTACTTTATTGCATCGTAATCTCTGCAAGTGTTTCTGCACACTTTAATAATTTCAAGTTTTTAAGTCCTATAGTTTTTACGAAACATACCAAAAAGTAACGTAAAGCTGTAATCGGTGGCTTTTACGATTTTTCAATGAATAGAGATAATTTAATTGTATGCCTTTGAACAAAATATTTGAAAACTTTAACCGAAATTAAAGCAAAAAAAAAAAAAACCCAACATTTTTTTCTTTAAATGAATTATTTTGCTTAATAAAATTTTACTTATTTTACAATCAACGAAAGTAATGTTAACTTATTCAGCTCATTTATATATAATGTAACAAAAATTAAAACACTATTTTTCAGAGGCCAACAAACTTCAACCTGATTTTTAGAGCGTTTAAGGCTCATCGTTACTGGACGTTTTTATATAAAAACATTTATTTGAATAAACTATTAAAACTATTTCAACAAAACCTAGATAAGATGAAGAAAATACAGTTTTATTTGTTTATTTTCTGGAGATGTACTGAAAAAAAGGGCTTTCTCTTGGTATAAAAATCTTCGACCGTCAAATTACAGGTAAGAAAGTGCGATAAATTTGAACTTGAGGTAGTCATCCGTGGTAATGACCCACTGTGCCGAGACAGTGCATTGACCTTAAGATCGACCAAAATCAAGGTCTTAAACTTCTTTTTCTTTCTTCAGGGGGTGAAGCTTGTGTTTACCTTGATATTCTCACGCGGTCCCTTGTCTTCCGGTTTCCAACTACTTTACTGGCCACTCTACAAATTTCATAATCATTACGGGACAAGGTTCTCGTCTTGAAAGGAACTGGTGAGTATATTGGTTCGTTTTGTAATAATTTCTTCATGAGTTAATCATAGGGTTCGTTATGTTCAACGCTTTATGACTCATTTAATTGGTCCTCATGAAACAGTTATGAAATTATAGATTTTTGAAAGATTTAATTTTTTTTCTGTCGTTATGTTAATTTATTTTAAATTGCTTTTCGTATGTAGAACTAGTTTAAAATTATTTGGAATTTTTGAAGGATTATTTTATTTTAAAAAACCAGTCTTATTTCGCCGACCATTCGAAAAAACGAAAATGTGGCGAAAGTAATGTCCAGACTCAAAAGTTTTTGTTTACATTTATTTGGTTCGTTAGGAAATTTTTCTTACGATAATAATAATAATAATAATTCTGTGATTATTTCAATTAACTTATTATTCTGCATTGAGAAATATTTAAGTTGATAATATTTTGATTCTTTTGATTATATTATTGTCATTAAAAATTGAATTTTTTTTGTTTTTGTTTTGGCAAGAAAAAAAATGACTCAATAATTTTCTTTGAAACCAATTTCATGACTAAAAGGTTTTGTTTTAACTAATTTGGTCTCCAAAACTTTTAAATTATTAATTGTAAATAGTATTTATATATTAACGGAAATAATAAAAATAAATTATATGTAAAAATGATTACAACTTAGCGAATAAATTCTCTCTATATTTTTTTATAATGTTACCGTTGAAAATGAATAATAAAGAATGAATAAAGTTTCATAAGATTTTAGAACGTAATTTAAATTAAAAATTTCTTCAACGAAGTATTTAGTTACATTATTTATAATTTTTTTAAAGGTATCTAATTTAAATCGATAAATATTTATGTATCAAGAACTTTTAAGGAATTGTGTTTAACCACAGATTTGTCATTAGGAAAGGACAGGCCACCATGGAATACTTTACACTATAGAACAAAAACAAAAACTTTGTACATATTTACACGGTGAAAAAAGCAGTTGCCACCATTTTTTGTGTAAAGATAAATTTAAAATTTTTATAGTTCGTGAAGTCATATTTTTTTAATTTACTTTTTCATTGTTATTTTTATTTATTTATTCACTTTTGCATGTGTATTTATTGACAAATATATTCATACGCATTCCAATTAATTTAATAGCTTCATTACAAAAACATTTAATTTAAAAGCAAGTGCGCTTTTAGTAATATATTCGCACTATTTCTTTCAATGAATTGATATTTTGTTCAGTTTATATAATTTCTTGCGAGACAACTACAGTTCGGTACTTAGAAATGTAACTAAAATCTGTAACTAAAATATAATACTACTGCAAATATAGTTTTAAGTAATAAACTCTAATTATCGTGCGAAAAAGCATATAAAATTTTCAAAATAACAATTATTTGAAACAATTTGTGCGAATATATTTCAAATAATATGTTTTTAAGCAAAAGTTTTTTGCAATAAAGCTATGGAATTGATTTTAATGTGCATGAAAATATATGCTGTCAGTGATCAAACACACAAAAAATAAATAAATAAATAATAATGAAAAAAAAAATAATTCAACAATGAAAAAGTGAAAGAAAATGTAACACTGTAAAAAGTTTTTATTTATCTCAACACCAAAAATTGTGGCAACTTTTTTCACAGTGATTATACGTTTTGTTTTTATGTAATTAATGGTTTTTATTTTATATAAATTTTTTTATCTTATTTTTATTTAATCTGAAATTAAATCTACTCAACCGCATCTGTGTATAGCATAATAATTTTGGGATATTTTAATTAGATAATTTTTAATTTTGAGTCAACAGCTTGTTTATCACAGAGAAACAAAAATGATTGCAATCATAGGAGTAGGCGAACGGAGTGAGCAGGGTGTGGATATTTACATAGAAATTAAAAATATTTTAAAGATTAGTTTGCAATCTTTTTCTATATTATATTAACAAAAAACGATATTTTGAAAAACTTCGTTTTGGATTGAAAAAAAGTAAAAGAGGGAGGTTTTTCGAGTGTCGTTTTATGGCCATATATTTCATTAACATTTATTTTATTTGTAACGTATTTGTTTTTTTTTTTTTTTAAATTGATTTTGCTTACAACCGTGATTTTAAACCTGGATCACTTCTTAATTGTTGCTATTATGAGGTGTTACACACTTAACTGTTAGAAATTTTTCGGAGAAATGGTTATGAAACAAACTACATATTTAATCGTTATTTTACCATATTCAAACAAAATAGCCAAATAAACATAAATAAGATAGTATCCATACTGTTAATGGTGAGAAAAATCGTTTATTATCTACTTTCACTTAATATGGTTAAACAACCAGAATTTTATTGCACCACCTGAGGCCACTTTTTTCTAGATGGGTGCAAATTATAGTCGAGATCTGTGTGTCTCATGACCGCCAAAACGGGAATTCGAATCCCAGTGTTGAAATCACAATATTCCCTTCAATACAGAAAGAGTTTCCGGTGTCATGCACTCCCCAATTTGTAACCTGGACTATTAGAACACGATTCTCGCAATCGCTCATAGATGGCAGCACTATAAATCTGCTTAACACAAAAAAGTCTTGAATTTTCATGCTAGTTCTAAAGGTTAAAAGACCGTATAGTTTTGTGTTCACGTTTTTTCAACCACACTAGTTGCAAAAGACTTCAAAACCATAAAGATAAAATATGCGTTCTTTACCGTAAATTTTACGGTTAATTGGATGGATATTTTACCGTAATTTTGAAATGAAAATTCTAACAGTGTATTAAAGCTTTTTCCTAAAAATCATATGAAATATTTGTTTTTAAATTGAATGCATTGCAAAAATTTTATTCTGTTTTCTTGTTTTATCGTTATTAAGAATAATAAACATAATTAGATAAAATGATTACTTTTCCGAAATTCATATTTTCTGTGAATAAAAAAAATATTTAGCAATTGGCAATTGCTTTAATAATTTAAACATAACTTAAATAAATAAAAGAGTTTCTAAGCATTTTAGCCTCTAGATATTATAGTTAAATTAAAATGAAACTTTTCAAGATTTTCCAATTCAATTTAAACATTTATAAGTATTTTTATATTAGTAACGATAAAAATGCTGCATAATTTGTTATAGATCTAAAAAATAGTAAAAATAAAATGAAATAAACATATTTACAGTTTAAAATTTATTCTTAAATCACTATAATTTCATGAAAAGCTTTTGAAAGCATACAAATATTTTCTAGTTTAAATAGTTCTGAAATCTTTAATTTCAAATTTGACTCCTAATTACCTGAGGGAGTTTTGAATTTTGTTGTAGGTATTTGTTTACGAAATCAAATTACATTCGTAACATTTTACTCTAATAACAAATCTATATTGAAGTTCGGTATAAATAATTTTATATTTCCTTATTCAGGTGAGATTCAAATGTATCATAATTTGTTTTTCGTCTTTCGAACGAAATAATAAATTAAACGAAAGTAACAATAATAATAATAATTTGGAATGCATTTATTTATCAGAAAATTCTTTATCATTAATGTGTTTATACATTCGAATTTGCCAAATTTATGGCAATTGAAAATTAAACGTTTAAAAATATTTTTAACGATTTTCTGAATAATTTTAACTTGGGATAAAAAAAAAATCGAAACCATTTCCCTTTTATTTAAGTATTACAATCTAGCTTCATAATAAATTAATTAAATGATAAAGTTTAAAATGAAAGATTCTGAACCTATGTCAATCTATTTTTTATTCAAGGAATCTAAAATTTTGGAATTTCTTGCTTTAAAATTCTTAAGAGAATTCAGATAAAACTGAAAAATTTTGAAGTTGAACAATTTAGTTGATGTTGAAAAAAATAGTTTGTAAGAATGCACACAGTTCATTAATGCATTTATTTTACAAATTAAGCATTATCTTTAAAAGGTTTAAACAATACAGAGTATTTTACGTAGAATTGTTTGTAAAAATTATACATTAATCTTTCTGTTTTCTAATTTAATATGCATGATTTGTGTAGATTTTAGGAACATTTTGGACTAAACTTTAGGAACTTAGATAAAATGTCTATAAAACAGGTATATTTATAAAAAAAAATATGAATTTGTTAATTTAATTCTTAGATTTATTAGTTCTGATTTGACTTTCGACCTAAGAATTTGCATATGTCCGAGTGACTTTCTTTCAAATTAAACTGAAATCTTGAACACGCGAAGAGTTGCTATAAGTATTTATATCACTACAGAGTATTTATATCACATACTATTCATATGTTATTAATTTTGGAAATATTTTTCACGCAATACTTCTAAATTTAGTAATTGTGAAATTTTAACACCACAATGAATATTTAACTGATTAACTACGCTAATATAAATTACTTCAAGTAAAATTAATATAAATTGATGCCAATACTATTTTCTATACAATTTTAAAAGTAGAAAAAAATCATATTAAATAAAGACAGTCAATTATTCACTTCGAATAAATCTGTAATAAAAGTAAGTTTTAAAACGAGCTGTGTATTCCATTTTAAGCAAGAAAAATATTTCTAATTAATAAAACTAATAAGTTAATTTATTTTTTCTCAGGAAGTGTATAATGAAATTCATTATTGATGCAATTAATTTTTCTTATATGTGCATTTACTTGAGAGTGAGCATAAAAAATATAATTTAAAAGACTAGGATAAAGCTTTTAGTTTTTTTTTAATCTTCAGTAAATAATTCCTAATTACATTTATAAGTAGAAGGAATTAATAGGAAAATTTTAATTTCGTTCAAAATTGAATAAAAAACTTTTTCGTATGTTTTACAGTCATCTAACATGTTTTTTTTCTTCTCCAAAATAGTAATTTCTTCAATATGTTCTTTAAGCGAGAAAATTGTTTTATTTAGTTGAATTAAGAAAGTGCTCTAAATAAAATTAAAAAAATAAGGAATTATAATTTGGAAAACTTAATTTACTGCACTATAAAGCATTTTTTTCAATTTCAACAATTTAATCCTTTATAATTTTTAAATTCAATTTTTTTAAAAATAAAATAGTGATTTATTTCTTTTAAAAGATATTAAGAGTATGATAAGTGCGTTAAGATTTTAGAAATTCTGTGCTGTGATTGGCTATTTTTTTATTAAGTGTCACATAAAAAAATATCAGCAATAGACAAGACTACTCATGGATCTCCAGTTTTTAGGGTTTTAATATGTTGCTTTAAATAATAAAAAAAAGTAAAATTAACTTAAACGCTTTTTTTTATAAGAAAAAATATTGTTTGTATTTTTACTGTCAATATTTAAGTTTAATTATTTCCGTTTTACTGACTATAGTTCGTCTAAAGTGAGAACTTCTAGTCATTCGTCTCGACCCGTGGCGGTGACTATGGTAACGAGGTATAACTATTTTAAGTAGGGGGCGTGGGGTTATTGTTTACGACAGGTTTTGGCTCGGGTCAACGAGAGAAAGGGAGTCGTTTTCTTCTGTCTATAGTGTTAACCCTAGAGTGAAGAGAAGCTACCCTCCCTGAAATGCTCTATTCTTGTTTCCATGACAGCAGACGGCCTCAGAATTTGTGGCGGGGGGAGTGCTTACCGTAGACAAACTATATCACTCATGGGCTGCAATAGTGGCACAAGTAAAAAAACACGCGTTTTGGACTAAGAACGGGTGTAAATAGGAAAATACGCATTCTTTTCAGCAGTTATACTAGCACACTAATAATTCAACTTGAAGGTAATCTTCGTTTAAGCAAACTAAAGCATTTCTTATGCATTTTCCTTAGCAATGAAAACTTTAAACCCAGTTATCTCAAACATGATTTTTTGAGTTGTGCCGCTATTGAAGCCCATGAGCGATATGAAGTTCCACATCCTAAAGGTACTAGAACAGGGACAAAATGTCTGAGATGCTTTCGTTTATTAGAGCTATTATCCGTCTTACCAAAATGGCAGTAGACGTCAAACTGACGAATCTACACGAGGAGAAACAACACACCCTTTAATGCCAAAACTACTTCAGTTTTTTTCCTTAAGGCGATTCTTTTAATTTAAATTCTTTTTATTCTTAAGGAAAGCACATTTGCTAATGTGCTAAGCAATCTTCGCTGTTCATTTGCTAATGTGCTGCTTAGCATTGTAGACATGAAAAAGAGGTGCACAAAAGGATTAAATAACACTCGTTGCTCGAAATATCTCATCTCTATGTGTCTTATAAAGTGACGAAAATTCAAGTGAAAACTATGAAATTACCTTCTTGTACCTCTTGACCACATCGTGATCAAATTTACGTCATCCTGTGATTCGCCTTGCATACCCATGGAACCATATACAAGGTTGGCACTCCACAGGGAGAACAGGGAAAATACAGGGAATTTAAAAATCACCTAAAATAACAGGTTTTTTTTCCAATGCCCACCTGGAGATTACTTACATCATACAGACATCTGAAGGTCAGATTTGTTGGCCACTCTTTCAGGGCACCATATTAGGTGGGCCAGCGTTACTCCCACAGTATGGGCAGATAGTGCAGAGAAGGAAAGAACATCCATGCAGCCCGGGATTCGAACCCAGAATCTCTCTGATGCAAGGGCAGTTCTCTAACAGCTACACAGGCCGGTCCGCAAAAAGAGCAGGGTAAATGCAGGGAATTTTGATTTTTTTCTTTACAAACAGGGAAAATACAGGGAATTTTGCTTCTTATTTTTGACTTTTAAAAAATGGTGACCACTCAAAGTGTAATCTATGGGATATTTAACCATGATATTTCAGCTATACTAAACTATTTCATTTATTATAGCATTATTTAAGTATGTTCAGCTGTTTTTCCAGCAATCAAAACTAATAAATATAGTTAGCCCAATAGCTCACACAAGAGCACAGTAATTGTTGTTTCCTCTTAATATACAGGGTGTTCCAAAATTATCTTTACAACTTCAAAAATTCATAACTTCGAACATAAACAAGATATTTAAATTCTGTCTTTTGCATGTATTACTGCAACTAATAAAGTTTTTTTTCCAATAGGCTGAAAAGTTTTAAGTGAGGATGTGGACACCACAACAGAAAGCTCAATGCGTTTCATGGCCGTATTCGCTCCACATTTTCTGGACTTGTGCTGGGTCGTCCGGCTCCACTTTTATGCAATACTGATCCGGTGCTCATGAAGCTTGTGTGCCATGCACGGATGGAGGGTCTGGATTGGATTGAGTCTCTTTGGAAATTTGTCCTGAAGTTCCGTTGCACCTGTGTATCTGATTTCGTCTCTATGAACCATGAGACGAATACGGCCATGAGACGCATTGAGCTTTCTGTTGTGGTGTCCACATCCTCACTTAAAAACTTTTCAGCGTATTGAAAAAAAAACTTTATTAGTTGCAGTAATACATGCAAAAGACAGAATATAAATATCTTGTTTATGTTCGAAGTTATAAATTTTTGAAGTTGTAAAGATAATTTTGGAACACCCTGTTATGTGTATAATATGTACAGGGAAAACACGGAGAATTTTTTCCCTCCAGATTTGAGTGGCAACCCTGGAAAAGAGCCTTTATGACTCTAGCAATCCGGGATCACAGGGACGCAATCTTCATTCGGTATTCTCGTATTACAACTCATAGTAGTACGTATGCGTACTCTTTAGTACTCTCGGAGCGTGTGTGCCTCAGAAAGCTCTTTTTTTTCTCAGCCAGTCTTGAAGGGGTTAAGTTATTTTTGAATTAAAACTATTGGTTGTTACTTTTCTTATGTATTTTTATTTTCCTGACTCCAATAGGTATAAATGATGGAAAACCACTGGTTGGTCTTATTTTTGCTATTTGCAATTCGCCTAGCTTTAGCTGAGCCTGGTGAGTTGATACAGTTTTTTTTTTAACTATTACTTTTTTTAATCTTACTTAATTTTGAGCTTTTACTAAATTATAGGTGAATTAATCATTCTCCATATTTCTTTTCACCTATTTAAGTCGTTTCTCATAATCTTTTCCTTTAATTAAAAATGAGAAATAATTTTATTCAAGGCATCTTTTTAAATATTTAAATTTTTTTTTTAAATGCAGCATGCCAACATTCTAGCTTTTTCTCGCGATCCCCAAAGACCCACAAACACTTGTTTTTAAATTAACCAGCTCACTTGTGTTCAAAGTGCCGTCAATCCTTGACAGTGAACCACATTCTGATCAGCGCATAAAGTATAAACAACTTAGACTTTAACGATGAATTTACAACTTTACAGTTTTTGATTGGAGATACTCCACACCAAAATGCTTTATTTCATCTTGAGATAGGTTTTTATTCAGTAATTTAGTTGTAATTCTGATAAAATTTTACTGACTGTTTATTTAAGTATTTTATTTCGGTAACTAAAAATTTTTAAGGCTGCTATTAGTGTACCACAATTTTATAAAATTGCCGAGAGTAGTCCCGTTTTAAGCTCTTATATTTAATTAATTTAGTGCATAAAAATTATGCGTTATAACGTAAAAAAGTATAATCATAGTGCAATAGAAAACTGTGAAGTACATCTTTCAGTTTTCAGATGCTTCATTTCCTCAGAAGGATCAGTATTTTAGCTAGCATACATGTGTTTTCTCATTATTAGGATATTTTTCCAAACAATGCAAATATGAAGTTCATAAAATGAATATAATTGTTTAATTTAAAAGGTAAAGTTTAAGGTTTTGAAAGTTTTTAAGGAATGTAATTTAGAAGTTTCACATTTAAAGCTCTTTTTTCCTTGATATAAATATGTTTCACGAATTTTAATCATACTATTTATCCAGAAATAAGAGCACAATATTTAACGAAATGAAAATATTGTTAAATTTTTATCTTCTTTTTTATTTATTCACGGGAATATTAAAATTTTTTGCAATTTTTTAATTTTAGATGGTATTAAAGAAGGAATTAAAGAAGAACCAACAACCAAAGTTTTTACCGAAGTTGAGACGGAAATAATAACATCGATAAAAGCCGTAACTGAACCTGTTCCCATACCACCAGAAAGTGAATCTGATGCAGCTCCTGCTCCCCCCCTGTCATTACTAAATGCCCCATCTTCAATTAAAACTGCTTCGTCTGGACAAAGAGTAAAAAATCCTGAATCTGGTAGTGCTTTTGGATTACCCTGGCAGTCAGTAGATGTTTCTTCTAAAGGTACAACCACGACAACCACAACTACAACAACATTGCCACCTCGTGTGCAGCAGTTCAATGAACATATACGAAATCAATACAAGCCTCAAAATCAGCAACAGCAAAAACCTCAGGTACAACAACAGCAAACACAGCAGCAATATCAGCCGCAAACACAACAGCAAGAACAACATCAACAGCAATCTCACTACCGACCGCAGTCACAATCACAGTATCGTCCACAGTTTCAGCAGCAGCAACAGACGAGACCATACGTTCAACAACAGTCTCAACAACAAGTGCAATCTCAACAGCAGACTCAACAAGAAGTACAAACACAAAACAGGATTCAACCTGCTTTCCAGCAACAAAGTCAGGAAAAAGTACAGCCCTCACTTCAACAGCAATCCCAGATACAAGTTCAACCATCCTTTGCAGAACAGTCACAACAAAAAGTTCAGCCAACACTTCAACAAACTCAGCAACGAATTAAACCTCCAACTCAACAGAGGATTCAACCTCCAACTCAACAGAGGATTCAACCTCCAACTCAACAGAGGATTCAACCCACAACTCAACAACCAATACAGAGAGTACAACCTCCAAGTCAACAATCTCAACAGCAAGTTCAACCTTCATTTTCTCAACAGCAACAATCTCAGCCCGCTTTCCAGCAAGTTCAATCACAAGAACAAGTTCAACCACAAATTCAACAGCAAACGCGTTATCAATACCACCAACAGTCACAACCACAAGTTCAAGACAAATTTCCCCCCGAATTTCCTAAAGAATCATATCACCATTCCATTGAAGAAACAGCTACTGGCGGTAAGCAGTATAAGGCTTCCGGAGTGAAAACTGCGCCAGCAGTTCAAACTGTCAGCCAAGAAGAGGGAGGAAACGAAGTAGATCCGATAATCAAAGAACCAGGAAACGAAGTAGAGCCGAAAATTAAAGAGCCAGGAAACGAAGTAGACCCGAAAATTAAAGAGCCATATCAAAGCCAACCAAGTGAAGAAGAGAGGTTAAAAAAAGCAGATTTGGCTCTTAATGAGTATTTTACCGATGTTCTGCAAAACCTTAGTGTGAAAATGAAAACTGGCATGGATGAACCATTGGGAGAAGTTTTAGATCCAGTTAAGTTAGATGACATGCAACTTCAACCCTTGGTTGCTGGACAAGTATTCGATGTTAAAATGAAAAAGATTACAGTTGGTGGGCTGTCAGACTTTAAAATCACTCAATTGGAAAGTCAGTTGTCAGATTCTCGCATCAAAGTAGGCATTCATTATCCAAAACTAACAGCCAACTGTCTTTTCAACGCAAATGGTTCATTGTATGAAATTTTTAAAGTTACAGGCAAAGGTAATGCCACCATAATCTTCAATGATGTTTATGCCAGAACTGTTTTGTATCTTACAAAGGACGATGGAGTTTTGCAAGTGACGACTGCTGATCAGCCATATGTTGATTTTAAATCAGCTGAAATTCTTTTCCTTGATGAAGAGGCTCCTGAAGGTTCCGAACCTATCAAAGCAGAAAGTGTTGCGACCCAACTTGGACCGTTATACTTCTGGGTGCTCACTGCCAATGCCGTTGATAAGATTGATTATCCACTGGCTCTTTATTTCAATAAAGCATTACAGGGTTTTCCTCTTTCTGACTTTTTAGATGGATACGTTTTGCGTCAGCGGCATTTACGTATACATGTTCCTCATAATCCACTTCCATACGCTTACGTTTCATCTGATTTAGGTCAAATCTAAATAAGTGTTGTGTACTTTTTAAATTGAAAGCTGGCATTTTCAATTTAAAATTTTAATAAATTTTAAGCAATGTGTACTTAATTTTAAATCTCTCAATAATAATTTATGCCTATAAGTGATATTTCATACAAAAATTTAGCGCACAATATTTAACTTAACAAATACTGTAGAAATTGAGTGTTCTTATAGGCATTCTATAAATTTAAGGTAATTATTAGAATATTAGAACGGAGAAATTTAAACTTGTAAAATTTAGAATACGAATATTGTGTGATGTGCTTCATTTTTGTGTATTGTTTTGCAGCGTTTGTTTTTTATTATTTTTTATTATTATTCATTCTTAAGTTATTGCATTTTTAATTTATTATAATTTTATTTATAACGGAGCTGGTATCCATTCAAATAAATGATTACGTGTAACGTTGGAATGTAAATGTGTATTTTCATAATAAAAATTGCATGTCTTAAAGTTTTTATTTATTTCAGTTGCCTCTCTTTTGAACGAAGAATTATTTTTACACTGATTGTTTCTTAAAATATATGAAGCATTTACTTAAACTATATAAAGCTTCTACTAGTTATCAAAACATAAGTATACTTGAAATAAATTTATACTTCAGAAGAAAAGATGTTGTAACGGTTTTAATTCTTCCGTTATAGATAAAAATACTCTAAAATTAAAAAAATTTTGGCAAATCAATAACGTGAAAAATAGGTTCTTTCCGAGAGTTATTACGCAGTGAAGATGAACCGCACAGTGGAAAAACCCATTCTATCCGGATGACAATTCATTTTTTGTCAATGTCAGCTTTCATGGTTCTTCCTCGGTCTTCAGTTACTTCAGTATACTATTGCTTCTTTTAGCTGATCGTTAAAGGATGAAAACAAATATTACCAATCTCTTTTTCTAAAATTAATTAATAAACATATTACAGGAACATTTTTCAAAATATTAACTTCTTATGAAGGATGTGGCTGCCAACTTACAGATTAGTTGGAGGAAGCATTTATTTTGCTGTTGCCACTTTTATATTTTAATGTATCAATCTTTGTTTTTCAAATTTTAGAAAAAAATTTGTTATTCCAAACAAATTAAATCAAATCAGACTTGATGTGTTACCGACAAAGTTTGTAATAATTAAACCATTCTCACATTTCCCAGATATTGTATGCGAAATGACCAATCAACAAAATTGGAATTATAATTCTATCGTACTTGTAATCCTAGTAGCAGAATTCGATCTGCAGTATTATCTTCATAAACTCATATTTGTTCACTGCTCCAACGCAGTCAGAGATTATTACTGTAAAAATTAAGCTTTATCTAATACATGTGGCAATATTTGGATATAATAAGTAAAATTATACACGAAAACTTTGTTGTTTAAATTTAATTTGAATTTTACACAAATATTCTTTAGTTTTTCAAAAAGGAGTAGAAACAGAAGCTGATACTAAGTCTAATAAAGAAATCAGAAGAACAAAATAACTACCTGCGAAGGTGAACTTGCAGACGATAACATTTGAGATATCTTTTCATTTCAAATCAAGAAATTAATTATCTGTAGTTTTTGTCACTAGGCTCAAAAATGGCTAACTATTTTAACGGTGTTCTGATTTGTGCCGATTTAAAATTTCTTCAAATGAAATTAATTCCCATGCTACCAAAGGAACTTGGTAAAAAAATTAAACAATTGCTAGAATAATGAATATTAAATAGTTTAAATGTTAAAAGATTAGAAAATGGATGTAAATAAAATGTTTTCTTTAATCTTCTGCATTTTAAACGATGTTAAATTAGAATAAATATGGGCATACACATGAAGATGTGTATTGTCTTTTTTCGGTATCAAATTTAAAAAGAGGAATGTTATTCATTATTTTTCGTAAATTAAGATAGAAAAGTCTTCTTTTTCGTTCGATTCTTAATGTTTACTTACATCGAGTTGTTTTTTAACTGACATTTTTTTCTCTATTTGTTCTTTCTTTGTCTCAGGTGAAAAACAATTTGCAATAAACTGCAGCCCCCGCTGTTGTGATAGAGGCTTGTAATTGGTATGAGTATGATATATTACTATTATTTAAAAGTAATTTCTGTATGAAACAAGTAGCTTCATATTTAATTTTTTTTCTTTAAAAAAGCATAAAATCTTAGCAATCTCCAGGTATTATTTATAATATGTACTGGAAATATATGAACCAGAATAATAGCCTGGCAGGGGTGTTTGTCTCATTGTCCGGTTTTCCCTACAGTGATGTTTTTTTTTAACTGAATATTATTAAAAATATTAATCTGAGAATTGAAAGAGAAATTTCTTGGTCGTCAACTCGGTAGAATTTTTTTAAAAAACAATTAGAAGAAATAATTTTTGAAAAAATTATTCTTACTTTACTTATTATTTTTCAACCCTTTCGTAATATCCTTTCCAATCATTGTACAAATTAGAAACTAGGTAAGTGTCTTACCTTTTTAAAATTCTGATTACGCAGCTGTATTGAAGCCAAACCTAAACGAATATTTACTCCAAGAAAGCTATAGATGAATTCTTTGTTGGGTTCTAGGTCATGCAAGCATCTAGTGCGACGAAACTGCGACATAGTATTATAGTTAAGTCAACATACAATGCATTGAATAATTCCCCTTATTACTTACTTACTCAGTTATATAAAATGATATTGGCAGACAACTGTTATTGCAAAATAATTAGGAAATTGAAACAAATAGTAAATTTCCTAATATTAAGCCCACTACAAAATCGTACAAAAAGGGAACATTATGAGAGAAAACACCATTTTGGTACATTTAATCCGAAATTGACTTTATTTATTGGGAATTATTCTCCGAATAATATTTTCTCTTAACTCAGAGAATCTCACTTAATCTTTTATAAGGCCACTTTTTTCAAGTAATTTTATGTTAAAATATTTCCGGGATATAAAATTATATATTATTGGTTTATAAAAAGAAATTTATATAGTTTATTTGCTATAATTAATTTGATTTTTTGCTTTTGTGGGAAGGTGGGTGTGGTTTTTTCAAAATTTTACTTGTGGAAAGAATTGGCCATAAACTTGAACTCCCGTGCTTAGAAATAACCGAATTTATAAAACCTTTTTTTTTAAAATTTCAGATAATCTCGGTGGGAAATGATCAAACGCATTACGCACAAGAAAAAATTGTTCCATAATGCCAATCTTTTTTCTTAGTTACCTTTAATGTTAAACATATTTATGTAAACAAAGCCTTCATTGGTATTCTTTTTAAGTAGTTTTTGAAGATATCAGTAGATGGCAGCACAAATCATACGTGAGTAAAAATAGCATTCCATCGACATTTAAAAATTAATAAAGCTGGTGGAACGCAGGGCTGGGTGGAACGTATACTTCCCAAGGTCTTATAAAGTGTTCATGCGTAACAGAGTATTTTTTATAAGCTAAGTTTTCGTTGCGGCGTATTGAAAATTAATTCTTTCTCAATAATTCTTAAATAACTAATTTAAATATTTTTGAAGGAATTTGTTTAGATTTAAAGTTATTAATCATTGCTGATGTCTGAAAAATTTTCGTTTGATTGGAATTAATTATAAAAAAAGTAATAAATAATTATAAAAATATTTCTTTACATGAAATTATTGTTGAATAAGCAAGTTTTATAATCGTGCCCAATAATTTTTTTGATTCGCTTTTGTTCCGGTGACATGGAAAAATATGCAAAAAAGTGAAATTAATAATAATAAATTAACAAATTTCTTAATTTCTGATTTCTCTTTGAATACAGATGGCTCCATTTCGTTTTGTTTCTCTTTAGAAAGCATTTTGTGACACTTGGTAAGATTAAGCCACTAAACTTTTTCAACTCTGTTTTTTGTTTTTTTTTTGTTTTGAATTTTTGAACTTAAGTTGTTCTGTTGCGTTAGTTGTGTTCAGAATGTGTTGCTTTTTTCTCAACAAATTTTTGTTATAATTTTAAAATAGTCTTAAAATAATGGGCGATTTTTTGAAAGGTTAATTCTGTCCACATGATTTCTTTCTTTTAATTTCTTTCAAAAGAGCAACTCCACTAAAAGTAAACCAAAATTTCAAACTTTAGAAAACTTAACATATTTTATGTTATTTTAAAACTTAAAATGTATATTTTAATGTTAATGTATGCTTGATTTCTATTAGCATTTATTTAATACTTCTATTTTCAAATCAGAACTCTGGTTTCATTTTTTAAAAAAACGTATGTCGAATAAAATCTTTATTTAAATTTAAATAATCTATTTTAACATTTAATAAAATATATTTAGTATTTAACCTATTTTGATTATTTTTCGTAACATTTTGCTACAATTATAAACAGAAAAATTAATTATATGTAAAAAATATTTTTGATAATTTTAGAATTTCAATTGGCAATTTTTTTTGTTAGGTATAAGTAACAAAAATGAAGTTTTAGGCTTTAATTACGTTAATTTTTGGTCAAAATTAAGCAATATTTTTAAAAATCTTCTCTTATCCTTTTATTGTTGCTAGTAACTAGTTAAATGCCTGGAAAATTTTTTTTCAAGTGTGGAATTTGTTAAAAATTGGTGTAACAGACGTAATATTTTATGTTACGGACGTAATATATCTACATTGTTACATCGGTAACAAATCAAGAACTTGAATGAAAAAATAAATAAATACTGTAAATGGCACTATCATACATGAGAAAAATTAAAATAATTATATTTCCAAACTTTTTCTCTTTTTAATTATCTCAAAATTCAATTCTATATCATTTCGAATGTACTTGTATTACATTTATAAGGTAAACATTTTGAGATGAAATGTTTTGCTAAGAAGTTCAAAATATTTCTATAAGAAATTAAATTTTAAATATTGGCTACATCAGTGTTTCCCAAAGTGTGGTACGCGTACCCCCAGGGGTACGGGAACAGTTTAGCGGGGGTACTTGTTCTTATGCGAAATATCTTGCAACAAACGAAAATTTCAAAAATTTTTATTTGAAAACAAAGCCAGCCAAGAAAATTTACGATTACGTATTTTCTATTGGCTATTTTTTGCAGAGTTAACAGTTAATAATTAGTGGTGTTAACAGCCAGTTCTGATTTTTAACTTCGGTGCAAATTTTTATTGTAAAAAATTCATTCATTTTTTTATTGGTGGTACTCAGCTTTACGAAAAATTTAGAAAGGGTACACGAAAGTCATAAGTTTGGGAAACACTGGGCTACATTATTTGATATCAGGGCTCGAAATTAACGATGGTCCGTTGGTCCAAGACAAATGTGACTCAGATCACCCAAAAAATAATTAGCTTTGGTTCATCAGAGCAGCAACCTATGTAAAGGGATGGTATACTGTTTTGGATTTTTTTTACGATTTCATATTTTAATCGG